TGGTGTAAAGTATGTAGGTGCCTTTTGTTTTCCGGTGGGATAGTAAATGTTCATTAGATTCTCAAAAGGATCCAGCTCCCCCAAAGGCTCAGTGTTAATTGTACTCAGTGACATGCCCGAGGTCACACAGCTGCTCAGACTGAGATTTAGTTTTCAGTCTTCTGCCTTCTTATTCAATCATCTTCCTAATATACCTTAAACAGTAATATTAAACAAAAAAAACCCACCTGAAAGCTATTTATACGTCGTCTATTCTTTGGAAAAATTTACTCTGACTGGAGTTTAAGAACACAATTGAAGGCCTCTAGCTCTTAAGATTTCTACCATAAGTGTTTCAAAATGTGTATTTCAAAACTCCTGGGCAGTCTTTCCAGCACAAAGGCAATGTTCTTGAATTTGGTATGGCATGGATAGGCTCTACCCTTACAACTGCAAAAGCAGCTATAGGTGTGATTGGCCTATTGGAAAGAACAGCAGTCTTGGGCCCAAATGACTCACATATTAGAATGTTGGCTCTGCCGCTTACTAGTTATTAATTAGGAATAAGCTACTTAAGTTTGTAGCTTCAGTTTCCCCATCTATAAAACTGAATGATCACAGCTAGCTTTTGAGGCTGTTCTGAATACTATAGATATAATCTATACATGTTTTTGAATACAGTATATCAACTCTATGGCATGGTACCTGCCACTTAGTAGGTACCCAGCTGATCATATCTATAACCTTTTGTCTTTGTTGTTGAATTAAAAAGTAGCATTTTAAGTTTTGCTTTATATTTAGACATGGCCAACAATTCAAAAAATTCCACGTCAATATGGCTTTTAAATTGAAATGTTAATTATAATTCTACTAACAGAAATATAAGACAAGCAGCCGTAAATTGTATATTAGAAGGAAAGACCAAAACCCCCTTTATCTAGGAATGTAATAATCAGATTGAATTTTTGCTATTTAGGAGGCATTACAATAAGTAATGTGTCACTAATGGATATTCATTGGTTTATAAGAAGTTGACGATACATAAAAAGATATTTGAGGTCAGTAGATCACCCCTGGGATGAGCTAGGGATAGATACATGTAACTTTCTGCAATTGTAGGACTGGTCCATTTGAATCACAGTTGGTTACCCACATTGTGTCATTGCCTCAGATTAGTTATGCCATGAGTAGGAAGTGAAATATTAAAGTGTAATATCTGTGCCATCCATAGGTTAATGCCCAATGATCAAATGGATTTTTAGACCAGAAGTTAAGGCTGGGCGTTTGGATCCAGGCTGTTACTTAATCACAGTCACAACCTGTGTTAGTAGGAAAGCAACATGAGTGATGTGGCTGAGAAAGCCGGGGCCAAGGGCTCACAAGGGTTCGATTCTAATTTGGGCTATATTACTGATACACTGTGTGGCTCAGCACCAATTATCCCTCTGAGCTTCCATTTTCTCTTGTCTACTTTCTGGAATACTTTGGATTCTAGAAGATTAGGCATGTTGCTACACATTATCTTGTGCACATATACATATTAGTTCCCATTTAGTCTTTATTTGTCACACTTATCTTAAATCATTAAATTAAATCTGTTCACCTTTCTTCTTCAGGAATTACTATTTTCTTTTAAAAATTGCTTAATCATGGAGGGGACTCCAATGGTAACTGGATTGGTCAAAAATTCAATTTTATTCCCATATTGCATAACCTAAAACTCCAAAATTGTAAGCAGTTTGTAACTTGGATGCTCTTGAATTTACTCTGCATTTTCCCCAGCATAAAGTTAGCATAATTTGGAACCATGTCATAAAGGGTCACTATTTTCAAGGAGTTCAGTAAGCACATTGGTACCCACACAGAATTCCTGATTTTTAAAAATTTCCCCCTGCCATCTTTCAAGGACAGTTGTGTTTCAATGACAGTTGTGTAATGTTTAGTACTATCAAGCAAAGATAAAGGCAATACAGATCACTATGGCAACTTCCACTCCTTTCTTTAATGTCTGTCAAATAACTCTGCAAAGTAATGTGAAGACAGTGACCAGGACCTCTGAGAGAACAACAAGAATCCTATATAATAAAATATGCAAATTGACCATCATGCCCTCGCACAAGATGGCCTCTAAAAGATGGCCAGCAGGGGAGGGCAGTTGTGGGTGATCAGGCCAGCAGGGGAGGGCAGTTAGGGATGACCAGGCCAGCAGAGGAGCGCAGTTGGGGGCAATCAGGCTGGCAGGGGAGCAGTTAGGCGCTGATCAGGCTGGCAAGAGAGTGGTTAGGCACAGCAGTTCTCAACCTGTGGGTCACGACCCCTTTGGCGGTCAAACGACCTTTCACAGTGGTTGCCCAAGACCATCCTGCATATCAGATATTTACATTACAATTCAGGTTGAGAACCACTGGGTTAGGGGCAATCAGGCAGGTAGGCAGGCGAGCAGTTGGGAGCCAGCAGTCCTGGATTGTGAGAGGGAAGTCCAACTGCCGGTTGTCCTGTGGGATCGGGCCTAAACCGGCAGTCAGACATTTCCTGAGGGCTCCTAGATTGGAGAGGGTGCAGACTGGGCTCAGGGACAACCCCCACTCCCCCCACCCCATGAATTCTGTGCACTGGGCCTCTAGTGCATAAAATAAAATCTTCACCAAAACCTTAATTGCCATTATCGCCACAGGCATGCAAAACAGACATGTTATATTTTATAAATTGTGCATGAAGTCACTTAACATTTTAACACACTTGAAAAATCTGGCTTTGTGCTATCCAAGCTCCCTTTATAGTAAAGCCTCAGCGAGTGGTTCTGTGGTTCCAGGTGCCAGCATCTTGTGCTGAAGAAATAAGATGATGGCTTGGCCCCTTACATATGGGGCTTAGTCTAAGATAAAATGCTGTTCATGGCTGTAATCTAGATTAAAGCTCTCGGTGTAGCCCATAAACTTCAATTAAATGCTTCTAACCTTTTGCATAAGAGTTAAAATGGAAAGATTTTTGGTTTCTAGGTCAGCTCTAGATTTAGGGTGTATTTGTGGCACAGAGTTATAAAAAGGCAGGTTTTAGTCTGATTCCAGCGTTTTGGCTTTTTTACTGTAAAAATATCATAGGAATGAAATGTACATGGTTTCCAACTATAAAAAGGCACATGGAGGGATATTCCTGTGTTGCTGTTGTTTTACATATACCACTGTGAAGATGGCAGAAAATAACAGGCTAAGGAAAACAATGACAAAGTGGGCAGAAGTACAGGGCCGTGGTAGTATTGACTGACCTAATTCTGAGTGAAAACAATGATACAACACAGCAAAGGCAGACTGACAAGTTCTTCGGTCAAGACCAAGCCAAATGCATTCTCAATTTACACCCATTTATTTTATTTCTATAATTTATCTTGCTTCAATAATGAAAAAAAAGGTTTCTCTATTTGTGCCTTGGTTTAGTTTCTCATTTACCATGGCGATCATATGAGAGACTTGAGACAAAAAAAAAAAAAAGAATTGCTACTCTTTTTTACATTTTAAATGGGAAAAATGTAGAGATAAAATGTGAAACCTATATGTGAATCACCCCAATTACAGTTCCTAAACAGGATTTGAGAGAAGCAGTTACCCATTTGACACTATTCTGCTTAAAGTAGCATTGGTGAAACTTTGATACACCTGATCAATTTTTTTTTTCAGCACAGAAAAAGGCTGTCTTGAACACCTAGTATCTTCCGTTGCCTCAGAAAGGTGACATTTTTCCAACATCAAAAGTAAAACCTCGAGAATTTTAAAATATATTTGTGCCACATAAGACCATTCTGAGGAAAGGGGCTGTAGGCAGGGCTTGCTGAAATGCTGAAGGATCGTCCTTGTTCCCCCCAGACGGGAAATAAATGGAATGGTTGCCTTGGCGCTTAAAGCTAGTGAACAGAGTCTCACTTTCAAATCAACTCTGGGTACGAAGGAGGCAGGTGGGACTTGTTCAGAGTTAGGAGATAAAGGGGGGTCATCACAGATTTCTGAAGCAGAGAAAAGGGAAAGATGCTTGAATAACTATCGATGAAAATGTCTGAACTGTAAGGTTCTCAAAAGGACTGGGTCTGAAGCTGGTGTTATTTAATGTTTTATAAAAACGTGAAGAGGGTGAGCAGTAAACTTTCAAGTACGAAAAGGCTACAATGCTTTTCTGGGTGCCAATGGGGATGCACGTGGTACAGGGCACTTGGCGAATTGGGTTAGCTGCTAAGACCAGGACGGGTTTAAGGGACTGTAAACTATTTTCCGAGGGCAGCAGTCCAATGTGCCACCACCGCCAAGGAGATTAACACAAAGCCGGGGGCTGAACGTGAGCTTCTAATTGCTTTAGAAACACCACGTGAGAGGGTTTTAGTATTAGTAAGGCAGGAATGGAAAATATTTCCCTCATGAATCCTTAAAAGAAGTTAGGCATATTTAAAGAGCAATTCTCATCTTTCAGGAACAATCATTCCCTCTGAAATGTACCACGACTGTGAGATTATCAAGTAGGCCACAAATGAGGTGTACCAGGCATCTCCAATGTGCTTACTTCGTATTAATCACAACATCACCAACCCTAAACCTTTCAACTGTCCCTAGTGGATATCCACATTTATTTACAAACTAACAACTCACTTGCCCATTTTTAAGTAACAGTTACTGAGCATCTTCTAACAATCATCTTTTTACTCCTAACCACCAGTAACCCTCAGTAAATGGGCAACCCAAAATTGCTTCCCTTAGGAGTATCAACTACATAATCAAGTATTTCATGTACGCTGGAGGCAAAGAGGTCATGAGGGATGCTCTTATGCTATAGGATGGTGGGATAGTGTGTGTATGTGTATGTGTGCATGTGCATGTATATTGTCGGTATATTTTTATGAGAAAGAAAAAGTGAGTACTAGCGTTGGCTAAATCTTAACTATTTTTATAGATGGCTCAATGCCTAGTTAAAGCTATATTTTCATGCACATCCTTAAACCCATGAAAATAAACGTGTACATAATGTCAGTATTTCCTTACCTTCTATTGCTGATAGGAGGACCCGGGAATGATCATAGGCGATTACGTTTGCATATCTATTCTTTGGTTTGTTTACTTCCAAGTTTGAATGTTCCCATGTGAACTGCTGGCCAGGGTCAATTGACTTTAAAAGAAAAACAGCACACACACAAAATCAATACTGAATATCAGTAGAATATAGGCATCTGTCACAAGTAACAAACACGATTTTGAAAGGAAAACTCTGAAGCCACGCTTCCTCAAGATGGCCCTGGCTGTGGAGCTGAGCACCGATATACCCAGAATCACATGAAATGATTAATCAGAGTAAAACACGGTGTAGTTACCAACATTGATTCAGATGAAAAAGAAAATCAATACAGATGTTCTGTTAATATTGGAAAGGCAGGTTTTATTATTATTATTTTACTTTTCCATTTTTTCTCTCTGCTGCTATAGTTTACAAGTTACTTTGGTTCGATATTCCTTCCAGTTCTGTGAGCATTAATTTATCTTGTTTGCTCTACCCTATTCTTTCCTATCTGGACTAATCTCAATTTTTAAATCGAGTGGTTTTTCACTGGCTTCACTGGGCACAGCTTTCCTGTTCTTTCTTCACCTATAGGCTTACATCTTTTTTTTAAAAAAATATATTTTATTGATTTTTCACAGAGAGGAAGGGAGAGAGATACAAAGTTAGAAACATCGATGAGAGAGAAACATCGATCAGCTGCCTCCTGCACATCTCCCACTGGGGATGTGTCCACAACCCAGGTACATGCCCCTGACTGGAATAGAACCTGGGACCTTTCAGTCCGCAGGCTGACGCTCTATCCACTGAGCCAAACCGGTTTCGGCTATAGGCTTACATCTTGACGGCAACTTAAAAGTTTGTCTATTTCTCTGCAACACATTACGGCCAATATCACAAGGCAATTTGTACAATTCAAACAGTTAAGAGTAACAGTAGAGAGGGCAGGTTAAGAGTAACAGTAGAGAGGGCAGGTTAGTTAAATTAATCAGTTTAGAATATTAATTTGTAACCCAGTGCAGATAGAATCTAATTGCTTTTCTATTTAAATTGTGTTTTCTATTGTTCATTATGTGTTATCATGTTTACAACATTTGCTTCATTTTATCCTTTAAACTTACTTGTTCTGATTTTTAGTGCATTTCCTTAATGCCTTAGTTCAACCACTTACTCAAAATTAAAATAAATATTGCCGATATAATATGTAACTTTTCATACATAAAGTAAAACAATGATTTTGAAACTGAATCCAGGCTTTGGTTATAACATCTTGGGAAAGTTTTTATTTTCCTGCAATATTATGTAAATCAAAACATATTTTCTTTTATCATAAGAAACTGACTTTTTTATATTTATAATTTCATGGTATATGGAAACATGAGTTTAGTAATCGCATAAACATGATTTTAAATGATCAAAATCAAGTTTTCAGAAACACTTAATGCTAAATTAAGTTTATGTACAGGTGAAATTTTTAAAAAGTAAAGATAGTATGTTATATTGATAGAATTTTTAGCAGTCATTTTTGATGCTGGGTATTTCCCATTCTTTTATGTGTATATATTAGAATTTGAAAATAAGACATATCCAATGGGTGTTACAAAATTAAAGACGCATACATTTTATATTAAAGGGACAGAGTTCAGCATGATGATGAAACTCACCAGTGTAAAAAGTCAAGCCTATTAAAAGTCACAAATAGCCTCTAAACATGCTAACATTCTCAGCAGTACAGATTGCAGCCTCTAATTTATGGAGGATTTAACCCCCTTTTCCTTTCTTAGCCTATGCTAATCTATATATAAACTGGTCGATCATTAAACAGTATTCAGCAAAATAATCATCTATGCCTTAGAGTCTAAAGAATAGTGTAATTAGGGGTCTTTCTAGTTGTTTCTTCCAAGGAAACTAATCATCTCTCTGCAGAATGTACTTTCTAGTATTCCAGGAGCTAAAGGGAGCAGAGCATTCATCTGGCTGGACGCCTTCAAGTCAACCTTGAGCTCTCACACAGCTCCATTCAGCGACCAAGACCAGATTTAAACATTGCTCAGTTCAGCCCCCACATCCAGTACTGCAGCATCTGAAGTCTACTTAGAATATCTCCTCTAATCTCTCATGCCAAGCGGTCTTTCTTAAGCAAAACCCCAGGCAGGTTACGTCCCTGTTTACGAACTCCCACTGGCTCTGGGTGACCTACAGCCTACATTCTGAAGTTCTCAGCCACAGTCCTACCTATACATTATCACTATACTTGCATCTACAAAGATGGCTCAATACATGATTTGACAAATGATTTTTTTAAAATTAATTGAATTGATGAATAAATTTGTTGAGAAAAGCTCATCAAGAGAAATCATGGAGTAATTCCTCCAATATAAAATGGGAGCTAGAGAACAGATTGTGGAAACTGCATTGTACAGTATACTCACTTTAATATTTTTACACTCATTAGCATATGGCTTAGTAATTAAATATATGATCTGGAAATTATAACTGCCACTGACATTATACTGATGAGCATTACTCAGCACATAAGCTTCTTGCACATTATTCTCTAGATCAGCAGTTTTCAACCTGTGGGTCACAACCCCTTTGGGGGTCGAACGACCCTTTCACAGGGGTCACCTAAGACCATTGGAAAACACACATATAATTACATATTGTTTTTGTGATTAATTACTATGCTTTAATTATGTTCAATTTGTAACAATGAAATTGGGGGTTACCACAACATGAAGAACTGTATTAAAGGGTTGCGGCATTAGGAAGGTTGAGAACCACTGCTCTAGAATATACTAAGAAGCCCCTAATCTCACTGACGTAGTCTTTGGTGGAAGATGTTACTCTGTCTGATGGCCTAGTTACTCAGACTATGATCATTCACACATGGAAAATGGCATAAATTTAATTAGACCAATGAAATTGCATCTCTCCACTCAAAGACACTGTTCAAGTCATGTCCATTTCTACTCTTGCCACATATTCTCAGCCATCAGCATGATTTGATAGCTGCATGGAAGTCTGTGAAAGTTGACACAAGTGAAGACATTTTAAAGTGGAACCAGAGTAGCCAGTTCCAGAGGAACTGTCTTGTACATACTGGTTCCTAAATCTTTGGACTCGTCCTAACACAATTGTTTTACAAACGAGTGTTTGTA